ACCAGTACCAACACATTCTTCAGCTCATGAACTTTTATCGTGATCAGTTGGATCACTTGTGATCTCAAGGCCACGCTTCGGTCAGCGCTGGACAGTGTCGTAATAAGAAGTAGACGTCGTAAAGATTTATTCTCTCTCTCTCTCTCTCTCTCTCTCTCTCTCTCTCTCTCTCTCTCTCTCTCTCCTCTCTCTCTCTCTCTCTCTCTCTCTCTCTCTCTCTCTCTCTATATATATATATATATATATATACATATATATATATATGTACATATATATGTATATATAATGTATATTTATATATAAAATAAACACATTATATATAATATATATATATATATGTATATATATATATACATATATATATATATATATATATATATATATATATATATATATATATATATATATATATATATATATATATATATATATATACGATATTATATATGGTATTCTGGTTTGTAGAGATGCAGTTTTGAAATTAAACACTTCATGACGTAATGGAAACTGTGTATACATTTTTTAACTCACCGAGAGCGTCGTTATCCAGCATGCCCCCCCCCCTCCCCATCACACGCACACATCACATTCAAAGGCGTCCGTATCATCTTCATTCTCTCCATTATCAGCCACCCGAACATCATCTACGCCTGCTTAATGCCCGCACTTAATCAACCACTTCACTCTCTTATCACTCTGTCTTGCCCGAGGTAGGTTACCCGCCCTTCCCTCCCCACCCCCTTCGTCCTTACTTTAAACGTGACATAACTCCACTCCACCTCACCCTCCCCCCCTTCCCCATACTCTTTCAGAACTTAAAGCCAGACTTCACCCACAAAAGCACATTTCTGATGCTGGAGTCTCGAGTCTCTCACGTTATTTACAATATTTAATTAATGAACTCATCCATAACCTTTTAATGAACGAGACACATTTCAACTAGAATTGGACACATGCTTAGGCATTCAAAGAGACGCATAAACAGAACATATCAAATGAAAAAAAAAACATAACATGAGTTGTCGATCACTGAATTTATTTATATAGATTGATAAACTTGATAAAAGAAAAAAAATAATTTTTTAAAGCAATAGCCTCACACCATCAACAATTCATACACATACAGTTAAGCGCGTAATAAGCTGTTGAACGGTTGCAATTGCACATTTTAGCTACAGATTCTGATTTTTCGCAAGCAAAATGAAAAAAAAAATTGAAAATCGTAATGTTTTAATTTTAATTTTTATATTTCGAGTTGTAAATTGCTTTTCTTAATTGACAATTTCTTGGAGTATTTTCGTTAGTGTTGTTCTATAAATTGTTCAAGTAACAATTCTATTGTAGGTTCCTGAAGAGATAATAACAATGCTTACATAAACGACAACCATACCGATAGATAACACACTCCTACACTGTTGGTTTAGCCTTACCATATATTTCACATCATTTAAGCTATATTTAGAGTTATATCTTGGAGTTTTGTAAGGAAGGAACAGAGTTTCTTCCAGGCATCTCTTCGGGGGGGGGGGGGGGGGGGGGGGGGGGGGCGAAACCACCCCCCCCCCCCAAAATTTGTTTACCGCTCTCCCCCCCCCCCCCCCCTCCGAACGGAATGAAATTTATATAATTTATATAGAAAATATATACTTTTAACAGTGTCCGCCCCCCCCCCCCCGAAGAAAGTTTACCGCCCTCCCGAAAATTTCAAGTGCCCCCTCGGAGAAAAAAGTCTGGAAGAAACACTGGGAAGGAATCCTTAGTCACGTATTGTCATTGAAATAGTTGGGTACGACTAAGCAAACAGTGAGTTGGGTGATCAAAGGATTCACACGCCTTATCCATGCGAAGAATTTTTTTTTAAAAGGAAACAAATGTAAATTTATATATCAACAAAAAATGTTGAAGAAAAGTGTATATTACAGGTAGTGTGATTTGATAATAATGATGATGAGAAAAAGAAATTAATATTACAAAATATTTAAGGGTCTTAAATACAACCGCTTATACAATCTTAATTTCTCTGGTCAAAGGGCTACTACTCCAGAATTTACTCATTTATCATTCAATGTACTGACTTCATTTGTTTATTATTTATCTATAATCTACATTCTAAAAACGAGGCTCTGTGTTGAAAGGAATAAATGTCAGTATAAATTAATTTGAAAAAATTTAACACACCATTCTTAATAATTATAATTTAAGGAAAAAAAACAACGGTAAGAATCGAAGGGACATAACCACACTTTTTGATTTGGTTTTCTAGTGGATACTCAAACAATTAAATTTTTTTTGTTATTAATCTATTTTATAAATTGCAAAAATAATTTACTGTAGTCTCTATTGTTAATGATTAGTTCTGTTAAAAAATGCTTTATATCAAGTGATGATAGTCTATTGAACATATTCATATTAAAATGTTTTAATGTAAAACAGAAACTAAAGTCAAACATTCTTGTTGGTAATCGCATAGAGAACGTAACTAGGCCAGTAGCTTTCATTCAATATGTATTTCAAGAAATTAGTTTTTATTAAACAAATAATAAAAAAAGCATTGATAAAAACATTTATAACAATATGATAAAATTACATGTTGGAATATTTATGATGTAAAGAAAACACGAAGTAATTATCTTCATTAGATATAAATATATGTAAAAATTATGAGAAGTAAAAAAATAAAACACCCTTCACGCCGAGTATTCGAAGTACGAGTAATAAAAAAAAGTTGGTCCATAGCAGATTAACAGTCGAAGCAGTTTTAAAAAAAAACACATCATTACGGCATAAGTAAAAGAAAAAGCTGAAATTGCTGAATTCATTAATGATTTATTCAACTCGTTCAAGAAAAAATTATCTGCAATATGATGAGCATCAACCAGATTATATTCAAAGGGAGATTATGCAATATTTTAAAAAATAAGTTGTTTCCCTGGAAATAAAAAAAAAAAGAAATTAAAACTTTTTTTACAACTTACTTGTGTAGATTAAAAACAGCTGTAAAATGATTCTAAAATATTTCTCAACAAATTGACAAAGTAATTAGCGAAGTGGCTCCAATATATAATGAGGTATCAGTACGTTGCACGCGTTGACTTTGGGGCTGAGAAAGTATTGCTGCAAGTTCTTTTCTAGTTACGCATAGACGATGTTGTGTTGATTATTCTCTAAATTTTTTTGAGCGTGTATTCCAAAGTCTGAGAAGTTTGAACTATATTCCTGTGCGGGTAGGTATAGTCATCAATGTAATTTAGCTTACATCCACCCGTGATCCCCACCCCTCCCCAATGTCTTATCATCCCATATGTTTCTATTGTAGTAGGGTACAAGGTTATTTTTTATAGATTGTAGAAGCCTGTCCAATTAAATATTTGAAATTAAACAAAATCAAAATTTTTTTGGAAAGGATTTCAATTGATTTAAAAATGTTTTACTCGCGTGCCTTGCCGCTGTATCGATGGATTTCAGTTATATTATATTGCTCATCATTTTATATCAGAGTACTAGTAACAATTCAATAATTTAAATATATTGATGTTTCTTTGTTTATTTTACATTTCTTAATATTTATAAGTGATAAGAAATAAATAAAAATTACAGTAGGGTAGGCATTGTGATATTTGAAGTAACGCTGCTGAACGATGTGCCGCTTTATTAATTTATTTGTATACACAAAAATATTAAAGGGTTTTAATTTAAATTTATTAGCTTTATAATTTATTTCTGTAAATGCCTATCACCTGTAGATAAACATCTAAATTTATTAATTTTAAATCTAAAGAACTATTAAAAATATAACATTCAGATTTCGTTCTAGTCTGCACATTTTAAAAGCAATATTTGTACATATGAAACGTCTGTTGTCTCCCTTTATTAAATTAGAACAATAATCAAGGGGAAATAATTACGTCGTAATTAAACCCGCTTTTGAAGGCACAATATTTGTTTAATAGTATTGGAGATTTTTTATTCGTTTTTTTCTTTATAAATTCATAAGGTTGTACTCAAAATTACTACTTTCTAATATGACGCCTATATTTCTAAAGCCTATAATTAATTCTGTTCAGCCTAATATAGACTACTATTTTCTAACATAACGCCTATATTTCTAAAGCCTACATTTAATTCTATTCAGTCTAGACTACGGTGGCAAAAAAAAAAAAAATTAGCTACATAAGAAAAAAACAACAATTAATGTAGATATAAATGCTAATTACAATCGAATACTAATGATGTTGCGTATAATAATATAGGTCGAACAGACACATATTCAGTTATTTTAAAAAGCAGGTTTTCACACAATGCATCTAATCAAAAGAAATACTAATCCACACTAAAATTTTAAACAGCAAAGTCGTCTATATAATTAATGACATAGTCACTTGAAACTTGAAGGAGGGGGGCTGGGAAGGGATGGAGGGGGTGTAATTTTTACAATCCATTTACATTGATAAACAAAGTCAACTGGAGCTGGGAAAACTAAAGTCAACTATGAATTAAAGTCAGCTGATACTGAAAAGACTCAAGTCAATTGACTTAAGAATCCAATCTTAAAAAGGAGGAAAAGAACAGCGACTGACAGACGCCAATAGGGGGGTGTGTGGAGAATTAACACATTCTATTTTTACATCACACCTACTTGAACGTCCATTGAACTAATAATAGACAACGGTGCTCCTAAGGGGGTTCATCCGTAAATGACGTCACGCTTTTTTGGACGATTTTTACCCCCACCCCCCTCCCCTCCGTCACAGAGTTTTTTTCCAGGCATCTCTTCGGGGGGGGGGGGGGGGGCGAAGCTCCCCCGAAAATTTTTTACCGCCTCCCCGAACGGAATAAAATTTATATAATTTATATAGAAAATATATACTTTTAACAGTGTCCGTCCCCCCGAAGAAAGTCTACCGACCCCCCGAAAATTTCAAGTGCCCCCCGGAGAAAAAAGTCTGGAAGAAACACTGCTCCGTCACACAGCGTCACAAAAAGCCAGGCCCCCCCCCCAGACGAAAATGACGCCACACATCAGCCTACAACCCCCCTCAAAATTGCAATTGAATTTTTCTTCAAACTGCGATATTTTCCCAAAATCTTGTCTGAACTCTGTTAACATAGAGTATTTTAATCAATTCCTATTACACTATATTACAACGGTTTACTAAAACGCGCAATAACGGCTATAACTCGTTTTTTTAAAATTGCTTTTTTAAGACGCAAAAAGTGTGACGTGACACCATCTATTCACACCCTAATCACACACCGTCACAAAATTATGGACCCTCCCCCTCCCCCCTTACGTCATTTAAGGACGACCCCTCAATGAAAAAAAATAAAGTAAAATGTGCGAACATTTATAGTGAAATACATTTTAAAAGTCAAAGAGGATCAAGAAAAGATAACTAAAACCAGACAAAGAACAAAATATTATTCGGAGTTATCTTTCTTCCACACGCACAATTATTTATTCTTTTTCTTAGAAAAAAACTAAACAACGTTGAGAGTTTAAAAAAAAAAAATTGTTTAAAATAATTATATACAAATGGACTTTAAAAATTATTTAAACTAAGGATTAGCTTTATTGGAGTCGGGGTGGGCGCCATGTTGGTCGTCTGACGTCATCATTCGGATAAATTCTGTGAGAAAAAAAATATCAAACGGTAATCAGTGACACGGGCTACATTCTTTGGTCACGGATTTTTTAAAAACAGAACAAAAACCCAACAATCGCACCGGACCATTCAAAGCAACAGCGTTAATACTAATACTCATAAAAAACCACAAACGCTATCATTTGATTATCAGATAAGCCAAACTTTTAAAAATCTCTCTCGAAATAGAAATGGGTAGTGCAACAACTCTAGTTAGAAAACAGTTATTTCTTCCTCCTTCAAATATATTCTTGCCATGTTCTTAAACTTCAAATCCATTCCAACACAACACAAACAGCACTAATAAAAGTACCCCTACACACCTTGATAATTAACCCTCCCAACCCTACCCACCTTAATAATTAACCCTCCCACCCTTAACCACCTTGATAAAAAAAACCCTCCCCACCCCTACCCACCTTGATAACTAACCCTCACTTGCCACCTGATAAATAACCCTCTCACCCTTACCCAACTTGATAAATAACCCTCCCACCCCTCTACCTACCTTGATAATTAACCGCTATCCACATTGATAATTAACCGTTACCCACATTGATAATTAACCCCCCTGCCCTTCCCACCTTGATAATTAACCCTCCCCTACCCACCTTGATAATTACCGCCCCCCCTGCCCTACCCACCTTGATAATTAATCCTCCCCCCTGCCCTACCCACCTTGATAATTAATCCTCCCCCCTGCCCTACCCACCTTGATAATTAACCCTCCCCTACCCTCCTTGATAATTAACCGCTACCCACCTTGATAATTAATCCTCCCCTACCCTCCTTGATAATTAACCCCTACCCACCATGATAATTAACCCCTACCCATCTTGATAATTAACCCCTACCCACCTTGATAATTAACCCCCCCTACCCACCTTGATAATTAACCCCCCCCTGCCCTACCCACCTTGATAATTATCCCCCCCTACCCACCTTGATAATTAACCCCCCCTGCCCTACCCACCTTGATAATTAACTCCCCACCCCTACCCACCTTGATAATTAATCCTCCCCTATCCACCTTGATAATTAACCCCCCTGCCCTACCCACCTTGATAATTAACCCCCCCCCCCCCATCCCTACCGACCTTGATAATTAATCCTCCCGTCCCCTACCCACCTTGATAATTAACCCTCCAACTACCCACCTTGATAATTAACCCTCCAACTACCCACCTTGATAATTAACCCTCCAACTACCCACCTTGATAATTAACCCTCCAACTACCCACCTTGATAATTAACCCTCCAACTACCCACCTTGATAATTAACCCCCCCCCCCTGCCCTACCCACCTTGATAATTAACCCTCCAACTACCCACCTTGATAATTAACCCTCCAACTACCCACCTTGATAATTAATCCTCCCGTCCCCGTCCATATCCGCCTCCCTGATCATGTCCTCCACCTCCTTATCACTCAGCTTCTCCCCGAGGTTGGTCATCACGTGACGCAGCTCCGCGGCGTTGATGTAGCCGTCCCCGTTCTTGTCGAAGATCTTGAAGGCGTCCGTGATTTCCTCCAGCTCGTGCTTCTCGGACTTCTTGGACATCATGGAGAGGAACTCGTTGAACTCGATGGTGCCGTTACCTGCAGAGGATAGAGGTTAAAGGTTAACTTGGACATCTTGGATAGGAACTCGTTGAACTCGATGGTGCCGTTACCTGCAGACGTTAGATGTAGAAAGGAAAGTCAATAATGGTGCTATCAGTGGCGTAGTCGGGTGTCATCCGGTGCGGCATCTAATGGTGTCGCCCCCAGAGGCGTAGCGACCCTTCCCGGCGCCCGGGGACAAACTTTCAATTTTCTTCGATTTGCACCCCCCCCCCCCCCCCACCTTCCTTTCCACCCTTGTCGGTATTTGTGAAATTGCTCTTAAAAGACTTTTTAACACTCGAATTAATCACTTAATTAAGTGGAATTATCATTTTTCTCAATATATTTTGCTATTTTTTGCCTTGGTGTCACCCCCCTAAATGGTGTCATCCGGTGCGGTCCGCACCCATCGCCGCCCCCCTCGCTACGCCACTGGGTGCTTTTACACGCAGACTTTACAGAGAATCCCCCCCCCCCCCCCAAATGGAATTTATATAGAAAAAATATATTTTTAACAGTGTCCGCCCCGACACCCCCCCCCCGAAAATTTCAAGTCCCCCTCCCACCAGGAGAAAAAAATCTGAAAGAAACACTGATGGAGAACATGTTGGAATCGATCAAGGGAAAGGGGGGGGGGCAGTTAATTAACCCAAATTATTATTAATTGATGTGAGCGTGATTCTTTTTAATATCATAAAATTGTATTCAGTAATCATTTTCAACAGCATGTCATCAACTCCCACAATCTCGCCTAAAAACCACGCCTCCTCAACACAAATACCACACCCCATAACTCCTACCAACACACCGACGCCATTTAACACCTACAACCAAGTCCTTTAACCCCTACAACCACACCCATCAACTGATACAATACCATTCCTTAACACACAGCCCACAAACAGGCGCCACAACTCTTACCATCGGCATCCACCTCGTTGATCATGTCCCTTAGCTCCGTCTCCGTGGGGTTCTGCCCCAGCGACCTGAGAACCGTCCCAAGTTCCTTTGCTGTAATTCTACCATCGCCGTCTTTGTCAAACATATGGAAGGCCTCACGGAATTCTGGGAGAAAAAGATTTCAGTTTTAAATCTTTTGTCTTTAATCAACATAACTATCATAAACATACGGATGTAGATTGGCATCGGTATGAAATAATTTGCATAGAAATATGTAGATTTTTGTTTTAAATATATTATAGAGCAAGCAATAAGAAGAACTGACGACTATCATTTCGCATACAAAAGCATATGAAAATACTCTCACATATGAAAGCTGTAACATAAAACAGCAATTGTGTCACATACAACAGCAACTATGTCACATACAACAGCTGAGGGAACTACTGTCACATACAACAGCTGAGGGAACTACTGTCACATACAACAGCCCAAGGAACTACTGTTACATGCAACAGCTAAGGGTACTATTGTGACATACAACATATGAAGGAACTATTGTCACATGAAACAGCTAAGGGAACTACTGTCACTTACAACAGCTGGGGGAACTACTGTCAAATAGAACAGCTGAGGGAACTACTGTCACATACAACAGCTGAGGGAACTACTGTCACATACAACATCCCAAGGAACTACTGTTACATAAAAAAGCTGATGGAAATACTGTCACATACAACAGCCTAGGGAACTACTGTCATATACAACAGCCCAAAGAACTACTGTCACATACAACAGCCCAAAGAACTACTGTCACATACAACAGCTGAGGGAACTACTGTCACATACAACAGCCCAGGGAACTACTGTCACATACAACAGCCCAAAGAACTACTGTCACATACAACAGCCCAAAGAACTACTGTCACATACAACAGCTGAGGGAACTACTGTCACATACAACAACTGAGGGAACTACTGTCACATACAACAGCTGAGGGAACTACTGTCACATACAACAGCCCAAAGAACTACTGTCACATACAACAGCTGATGGAACTAATGTCACATAGAACAGCTGAGGGAACTACTGTCACATACAACAGCCCAATAAACTACTGTCACATACAACAGCTGAGGGAACTACTGTCACATACAACAGCTCCGGGAACTACTGTCACATACAACAGCTGAGGGAACTACTGTCACATACAACAGCTGAGGGAACTACTGTCACATACAACAGCTCCGGGAACTACTGTCACATACAACAGCTGAGGGAACTACTGTCACATACAACAGCTCAGGGAACTACTGTCACATACAACAGCTGAGGGAACTACTGTCACATACAACAGCCCAAGGAACTACTGTCACATACAACAGCTGAGGGAACTACTGTCACATACAACAGCTGAGGGAAATACTGTCACATACAACAGCTCAAGGAACTACAGTCACATACAACAGCCCAAGGAACTACTGGCACATACAACAGCTGAGGGAAATACTGTCACATACAACAGCTCAAGGAACTACAGTCACATAAAACAACCCAAAGATCTACTGTCACATACAACAGCTGAGGGAACTACTGTCACATACAACAGCCCAAAGAACTACTGTCACATACAACAGCCCAAAGAACTACTGTCACATACAACAGCTGAGGGAACTACTGTCACATACAACAACTGAGGGAACTACTGTCACATACAACAGCTGAGGGAACTACTGTCACATACAACAGCCCAAAGAACTACTGTCACATACAACAGCTGATGGAACTAATGTCACATAGAACAGCTGAGGGAACTACTGTCACATACAACAGCCCAATAAACTACTGTCACATACAACAGCTGAGGGAACTACTGTCACATACAACAGCTCCGGGAACTACTGTCACATACAACAGCTGAGGGAACTACTGTCACATACAACAGCTGAGGGAACTACTGTCACATACAACAGCTCCGGGAACTACTGTCACATACAACAGCTGAGGGAACTACTGTCACATACAACAGCTCAGGGAACTACTGTCACATACAACAGCTGAGGGAACTACTGTCACATACAACAGCCCAAGGAACTACTGTCACATACAACAGCTGAGGGAACTACTGTCACATACAACAGCTGAGGGAAATACTGTCACATACAACAGCTCAAGGAACTACAGTCACATACAACAGCCCAAGGAACTACTGGCACATACAACAGCTGAGGGAAATACTGTCACATACAACAGCTCAAGGAACTACAGTCACATAAAACAACCCAAAGATCTACTGTCACATACAACAGCTGAGGGAACTACTGTCACATAAAACAACCCAAAGAACTACTGTCACATACAACAGCTGAGGGAACTACTGTCACATACAACAGCTGAGGGAACTACTGTCACATACAACAGCTGAGGGAACTACTGTCACATACAACAGCTGAGGGAACTACTGTCACATACAACAGCCCAATGAACTACTGTCACATACAACAGCTGAGGGAACTACTGTCACATACAAAATATGAAGGAACTACTGTCACATACAAAATATGAAGGAACTACTGTCACATACAAAATATGAAGGAACTACTGTCACATACAACAGCTGAGGGAACTAATGTCACATACAACAGCCCATGGAACTACTGTCACAAACAATGACCCAGACTAGAGAAGATACAGGCCACGGCACCCAGTATTTTGAACTTGAATGCCTTCTAATTTCTTGCCTCCTTGTATTCCATTTGCGTCAATCTTAATAATTAATGGCCCGAGTTTCCTCGGGGAATATTCCTTGTATAAAGTGATGTGGGTTTTTTTCTCTTTTCTATCATTTTTTCCCCTTAGATTATTGTACGTTGAGCCAAATATGTTTAAAAGTAAAAAGACGTGGGATGGGGAATTAGGGTGGGGGTGAAGGAGACATGTAGAGGTGCTTTCAAAAAATAAAAATAAATTTCGCCTTAATTTTTTGTTTTATACTTTTTTTTAGATAGTCTCAGGGGAGATAAACTCGAAAAGTGTCAACTCATCTGTTTTGAACTGGTAGGGGAGATAATTTGTCTATTCGAACATGATATGGGAGATAACACGAGCGATTGCAGAAGGAGACAAGGATGTTAATGGAATTTCAGGGGATGTAATCCAAATTTAACAAAATGATGATTTTTTTAAAAAAGAAGACGGATTAAACGAATGTAGGGCCGCGTCAGTAACCGCATAGTAATATAAAAAAAATAAATAAAAAAAATTGTACGACTGTGTGTCAAAGCGACATTTAATATTGGACATTGTAATATAATCCCTCGATATAGGGGATCATTGCAGGAACTACGGGGTGTTCATTTTCTAAATGCTTTTAGAAGTTGTATGTCACCAGGGGATTGAGCTGTTGGAATGTTTTAAAGGGAATAAAGTGTGGGAATGTTCTAAAATGATCGCGATATAGAATTGCTTTAAAAGAATTGAGATATGGATAAATTCTAAAGGGATGTGAGAATGTTCAAGTAGGATAGAGATATGTTTCACTAAAGCAATTGAGGTATGGGAATGGTCTAAAGGGATGTAGATATGGGAATGGCCTAAAGGGATTGAGATATGGGAATGTTCCGAAGGGATTCAGAAGCTGTACATTGATATGAGACTTGACACCACACAGTGTTATAAACTTCTGGCGTTGATTGAATGGAACCTCAAAGCCAACGAATAATTAACCCACCACAAAAACAAAATGTATGACCATTACTAGAGATGAACATTTTCTTCAAACTGTTAACAATTTCTCGAAATTTTCGAAATATTAACAGACTTTCAACGACATATGCAATCTTTACAGTATATCTAAGTACTCTATTATTTTATTTTTATATTGTGTTAACAAAAAATAAACACACACACACACTAAACCAAATTCAAGTTTAACAAATTTCATTTCCTTACATTTTCCTCCTCATTTGATTATATCATATTGATGACTTTGAAACAAAATAAATCATAACTCGTAGCGGGGGGTCCCTTCCGTAATGATGTCGAGGGTGGGGGTGAGTGGGTCGGGATTTCTGAGCAGCTTTTTGACTAAACCTACGTTTACTTCAGCTCTCCATTGAATAGGCGCTTGTGTTATGTAATGCTCTAGACTGCCGTAGATTGTTAATTTTTTATTTTTTCATGAAATATAATTTTCAATTTCGAACCTTAGATCATTTTTTGGCTCCACAAATGATACAGGACGAAATACATCTATGGACGCGTTTATGTAAAACACGGTCCATTTCTTATTTTTAGCTCAATGATGAGTTACAAAAACGGTAGACTCGGCACCCATCTCCACGCCCCCCCCCCCATCCCACATTTGCACACACACTTCCCCAACATATAGGTTGTAGTTATTCAGTCATTGATTTACAACGGTGTACACAACACCAAGGCTACCCCCACCCGAACACAAAGGCTACCCCACCCCCCAACACCAAGGCTACCCCCACCCGAACACAAAGGCTACCCCCACCCCCCAACACCAAGGCTACCCCCACCCGAACACAAAGGCTACCCCCACCCGAACACAAAGGCTACCCCCACCCCCCAACACCAAGGCTACCCCCACCTGAACACAAAGGCTACCCCCACCCCCCAACACCAAGGCTACCCCCACCCCCAACACAAATGCTACCCCCCACCCAACACCAAGGCTACCCCCACCCCCCAACACAAAGGCTACCCCACCCCCCAACACCAAGGCTACCCCCACCCCCAACACAAATGCTACCCCCCACCCAACACCAAGGCTACCCCATCCCAAACACCAAGGATACCCCCAAATACCACGGCTACCCCCCCCCCCCCCCACCCCAAACACCAAGGCTATCCCCCACCCCCAACAAACATTTTACAATATAGCGTCTGTAGTTGTAAACTTGTCGTGGCGTACAACAATGGCGACACCCGCGCCCACCCCCACTTTCCAAGTTTTTTTGTCTCTAGTTATTAACTCAATAACGATTTACAACAATGCCGCACAAAACGCCCAACTTACCCCCTACCCCGAACACACACACACTTGACAATATATTGTCCGTAGTTATTAAGTCAATGACGATTTACAACAAAGCCGCACACGACACCCATAGATACCCCCCCCCCCCCCCCGCCCTAT